TCAGCCAACCAGGCCAACCCTCTCTCTCTCTCTCTCTCTCTCTCTCTCTCTCTCTCTCTCTCTCTCTCTCTCTCTCTCTCTCTCTCTCTCTCTCTTTCTCTTTCTCTCTCTCTCTCTCTCTCTCTCTCTTTCTCTCTCTCTCTCTCTCTCTCTCTCTCTCTCTCTCTCTCTCTCTCTCTCTCTCTCTCTCTCTCTCTCTCCCTCTCCCTCTCTCTGCTCTCCTTCCCAAAAAATCGAAGCATAATCAAGGTGTATGTTTAGAAAATTTATTGTTATAATTTCCACCCATAATCTCCTCCATTTTCCTGCAGCCAGAATGACATAGATCATCATCTGGAGTAAAAAAAAATAGGAAAATGGATAGCAGTTTAAAATTTATCGGTCTTTGATTCTCAATTATAGGTGTTTATGACTTCATCCGTCTTCAGCCACCTCAACCTTTTCCATTATGGTGGAATATTATTTGTACGGAATCCATTAAATTCACAAGGCAGGACTCTAATGGCGGGGCTGCAGTGCTTTGCAGAGGGAAAAGTTTTTTTGAAAGGTTAGCTTTAGCAAAAGCGCTGCTGTTATGACACCAGAAATTGCTTTATTGATGGGCTTCCTCAGAGCCTGAGCATTTGGGCCATTTGTAACGGGCTCCATATCTCTATCTCCCTTCAGACACTGATGAGAAGCCACTGCTGCCTCAACCCGATTACAGCGCTGTAATGACACACGGTCAGAACACTTGGCCCAAGAACGCTCACACCTGGCTATATTCTACGGAAGGCATCACCTGTGTGTGTGTGTGTGTGTGTGTGTGTGTGTTTCTGGACAGGTGCTGCAAAGCCATTCCACAGATTCAGCCATGTCAGAAAGAATGAATGGGGTCTTTTAGTTCTTGGTTGGCACAAGGAAGACACAGATCATTGCATCAATGTAGGACACTGAGGGTCAGGGAACCTGTTGAACATCTCTGTACCTGTAAGCAACATTTACGGTTCCCAAGGTGGTACATCAGACAAAACATTCTTGATACTCATAACTTTAGCACAATGAGAATGATTACATAGACAATATATCATCATTGAGCATATATTTAACCCTACAAGTATTTAAGTGCCTGTATTCATGCATGCCTTCTCAATTCTTTATAATTTTTTAAAACTTTAATTGAAGAAAGTTTGTCAATGGAAGTCAGACGGGACCAAAACAGCTTTCATTGTATGGATGAAAAAAAGAAAAAAATAGAAACTGGGACATTTTTCAAAATATTGTCCTTAAGGAAGAAAGAAAGTCAAACCGATTTGGAGTGAAATGAGCGTGAGTAAATTATGAAATTTGCATTTTTAGCTGAACAACCCCTTTAACATGACTTAAAAAGCACTGTTTCTTCTTTTGTTTTGTTTTTCAGAATTAGATTTATACTCAAATCGTTCCACTTTCCACAACAACTTCTGCAGATAGTGTATTATGTGCCAAGATGGACAACCTTGATCCTGATGGCCTATGTTAATCCAGTGTTCGGACATGGACTGACCTGTAACCCACTTGGCGAGAGCCTCTTCCCACCCTCAAAGTGACATTGAATTCTGCTCTTTTCTCTGCGCCCCCCATAAGCATATAAAAGCAGCTCACTGATACTTGGCTAATCACGCTGTAACTCAGAGCCTCTAACTATCTCTCTGCCAATCAATAGCTTCACCATCCCAATTAAGGTGGGCCAGGTCAGGGCCAGGCCACAGTCAGTCCTTTACAACTTAAATGCCATGTTTAAATCCATTGTGTGTATTACAGTGGGACGAGCCGCCTGACCTTCAAGCTTTTAATGCCTCGTTTCAATAGTACCGGACATTAATGCACTGAGAAAGAGCATGCAGTGGTCATTTTGTACAAGTCGGTTAAACAGATCAGGATGTTTTAAAGGGAAGGTTTAAACTATGTGTGCTAATCATGGTGCTTAGATTTTTTTTTAGCTTAGTCTATATATTTGTGCATTTGGCATATATTTTATTCAAAGCAACTTGTAGTGCATTCAAGGCCTACACTTTATTAGTCTGGCATTATTGAAGCCTCTTATAATGGTCATATGAATCAACAGATCTTAATGGATTGAAATAATTTTTCAATCTGTAATAAATATGTAGGCCTATATATATATATATATATATATATATATATATATAGATATAGATATATATATACAGATATAAATCTGTATCTATCTATGATACATTTGGAGTTTATTCCCTAAATTTACACACATGCAATTAACAAAATTTACCTCTAAAAAATAATCATAATTACCGTGATTGTTCTTTTAATAGTTTTTTAATGATGTCATAGCGACCAAATGCCATTGCCGTACCAGGCGTACAATCCAAGATTTAAAGGTTTAGAATACCTCCTCGGCCATTTTTCACTGTGTGGTGCTTTTCGATATTATACTCATGTCTTTTATCACAATTTCGACCAGACGAGAGAAACTCACAAGATATCAAAACAAAAATCTATATATAATACGTGGGCAATTACAGCGCGAAGTTAGCGGCGTCTGGTCATTGTCACAGCGCGGCGCGCTTTTCTCATCTCCCGGGGTCGTTAGACGATGATGGATGTAAACCTATAAAGTATCTAAACTGGACCTTTTAACAAACCATGAGCAATACTATCATTTCTTTAATAGAACCTGCTGACCGTGTCATTCCGTCCTGCCATTCGTCATTTTACCGGTGAAATAATCAATAACTCCACGCTCTGAAATAAATAATCTAAAAGTCAGGGAACATTATATCTTCCCACCAGGCAGAGAGACACAAAGAGCCGAGATGAAGACTAATATGAAATATCTACACATAGCCTACATGGCACAAGCCCCAATAAAGGCACGCACCGAACACTGATTCTAATAGTTGTGTGTAGCGTCCATCATTCGTGGATAAAACTCTGTGTGAACCATTTTGTTGGTTACACTGAATTAATTAATTAGGCCTGCCTTTGAGCCTAAATCTCATTAGTTTTGTATATAAAACATATGTAGACTATTATATTCATCTAAGGTATTAGAAATAAGCCTTGTGTTTAAAACTGTTAGCTGAAATATGTATTTTGAAGAGGGGAGTTGCCTGAGTAACATCGTTGACTAAACCCCGTCTAACACCTGATGGCGCTAGGGAACGACTTATTTGAACCTAGCCTACAGATTTTGACAATAATAATGCAATAAAAGTAGGCTACACATAGCCTACATGGTCAAAAGATGTTTTAACTCTATATTTTACTTGTAGTGGCGTGAGGTTCAACCATTTAATTTCTTACAGTTATTCGGTATAATAATAATTATACAAATTATTCCGACTCGCTGTCTATGGAAAAAGTTTTCACAATCCCGCATAATATAATTTTATTTTTTTCGACATACTAAGACTAATCCTATTTACATCAAATTTAACATTTAGAAAACCATTTTCTGTTTTGTCACCACTTTAGAAATGGAGTGAAACAAGCAGAAATGTGGACCACGTAGGCCCAGCTTAATGTGAACAGCAATCAATAACCTAATATCATAATCAAATGCGCCAGCCGTTCTGATTAAGTTGTAATTCCCCTGCTTTTACTCTTTAAATAGGCCTATGCTATAGTAGGCCTACTATTCATTTTGATAATGATAATAATAATGCTATTGTAATCATAATCACTTATGTCCAGGACTAAATTGCTCTGTCAATCTAGCTATAGTTTATTGTCAAAGGGCTTAATAAGTTGTTGTTTTTTACAGCAACAAGCTTGGCTTTTATTGGTTTGCAGTTTTGCAAGCGTGCAGTAATTCTTTATAACCTGTAGAGGACGCTCTCATATCGTTCAATCAGTGACTTATGGCGTCCAATTCAGTCTTGTTAATAATTATAGAAACAAAATTAGGCTATTATTATTATTAATTCATTATTGTCGAAAGAAGACACTAACACGAACGGGTTTGATTAAAGATGGACAAAGCTGGCAACCTGATAATAGGCCATGCATGCACATGTTCACTGGTTCATTTTATTTATTTATGTACTTATTATTATTATTATTAGTAGTAGTATTTATTTTATTTTTATTTTGTGTGTGTGACAGTGACAATGTGCTGTTCCAGACCAAACTCGGCATTTAGTGGCATTACCTCATGACCTATAAGATTTTTGTATTTTATTTTGTGGTTTGTTTTAGTGGTCTAAGACGAATGCAGTAAAGTTCATTCATCCTTAGAACTCCTCTCCGATGGCAACTACTTAAAATGTTACAAATATAAAGATCGAACTTACTTTTTAGTTGCAATAAACACTTATGAAAATAGGCTATTTGAGTTTAAAATAGTAATGTTAAAAGTCTTTAAAGAGAGAGTGATTTCAACTAATCTATTTTCTATTTGGATACTTAAAAGAGCGTGAAAAAGTAGGCTAAATTAAAAATACGCCTGATTTTAGCAATAGCTATTCGTTAAAAAATCAGTAAGGGATTTATATTAAAACTGCCCTCGCAATGCTTCACCTTTAATAATAAAAATAAAAAAAGATATAGCTTTCCATATTGTTACATATTGTAGGGTTGTGTATAATACAATATTATATTAAAATTATGTAACATTTTAGAGCTACCAGCCTATAAATGTTCTTAAAGCAGCAACTACAAATTAGAGTATAGACTTAGACATATGGGGGGGGGGGGTCTAGTTTTGCTTTCAACACTTTTCCCTCATATCTATTAGTGCATTTCTATCTCTCTGACCCTAACTACAGTTTACACCATATGCCGATATAAATGTAGAAAGTCTGTATGTAACATTTTATTGATATGCATTGATAAAAAAGTTGCAATGTGGCCAACTTTGCAATGTGGCCTAAACCACCTTTTTCGCTATTGCCTTCATCGGCGCACCGCTTGAGCTAAATCCTTGTTCCTTTGTGTTAATGGTCCGTCCTCATTTGCCACCTAATTGGACTATATAAGACCAATAACAGGAGAGAACTCTCAGCCCAGCAGCCAACGCGAAGAGTCTGGGAGGCCCCTCCTCTCTCCCGACTCTCCACTTCCCATCTCTCCCTTCATCCCATTTGCTATTGTACGTGCCCAATCGCCGTATACTTTCTGCATTTAACTCGGGTGACATTTTTATTTCATCATTAGCATCTGGCGCCAGACGGACGCGGTGAGCATCATTTTCACCAAGGAACTCTCGGAAGATGATCAGCAAGATTAATATTGTTTATCTCGCCCCGCGTTATTGTCTTTCGTTTTAACGTCAGTGCTGGCCGTAAACAACCGCGTTTAAGTTCCCAACACTGGGAGAGCTTACCAAGGACCTTCAAACTGTTAAAAGATTTTTTTTTAAAGATTTTTTTTTTTAAAACAATTTTCAAAATATATTATAACCCCAAATTTCCAGCCAACATGCCCGAAACAACCCAGGATACATGTGCTTCGGCAAAAGACTCTCCGTTTTTCATTAAAAATCTTCTCAATTCTGACAGCAAGCCGTCAAAGCCTAAGCCTATTTTGGCTTCAACTAAAGCAGGACTTGATGCCAGCTTCTCGCTCTCTCAGGTGGGGGAATTTAACTTTCCTCGCTTTGAGTTGCCGACCCAGCGCTTTGCGTTACCGGCTTACCTTGAGCGTGCCTCGGCATGGTGGTACCCGTACACACTCAGTGCATCTGCGCATCTTCACAGAACAGAAGGTACGTTTTGATAACTCATAACTGATTGTTGTGTAGTGTGCATTGATTTGAAATTCGTCAGAAATAATAGCGTGATTCTGCTAGCAAATGGTGCATACGTAGGCTAATGTTAATGAGAAGCAAGTCAGCTCAGAACACAGTTTGGGAAATGTTTTCTGAGCGATATAGCCCAAATCATATAAACATATGCTACATGTAGCAATTATCATAAGCTGTGTTTTCATTATTTTCATTATCATGAGCTGTGTTTTCATTCTTTAAATATTAAAGTGACCGAGTTTTATTTTAAAATGCAATGTTTACGTTTAAAAACACTGAGATTTTTTGAGACAGTACGAATCACACTTGTTTGCACCTGTCATGTGGCTAAGTGACGCGACCTGTGAAACTTGATATTAAAACATTTCTGAAAGAAAACGAATGCTAATTTGAGCTCTCTTACTGTATGTAGCAGCACAGAAAGTGAGAGACTCGTCACCGAACACAGGCACCGACCGAGACTCACCTGAGCTCGTGCTCAAATCAGACCCGGACGCAAAGGACGATGAAGACGACAACAAAAGTGGAGACGAGATTGTCCTCGAGGAGAGCGACATCGAAGATGGTAAAAAAGAAGGCGGCGTGGACGACTGGAAGAAGAACGACGACGGCGCGGACAAGAAGCCTTGTCGGAAAAAGAAAACTCGCACGGTGTTTTCTCGGAGTCAAGTGTTCCAGCTGGAGTCCACCTTCGACATGAAACGTTACCTCAGCAGCTCGGAGCGCGCCGGCCTTGCTGCCTCCCTTCACCTCACAGAGACCCAAGTCAAAATCTGGTTTCAGAACCGCAGAAACAAATGGAAACGTCAGCTGGCCGCAGAGCTGGAGGCCGCCAACTTGAGCCACGCAGCAGCGCAAAGGATTGTGAGAGTACCCATCCTGTATCACGAGAACTCGTCCTCTGAGAGCTCCAACACAGCGGGCAACGTGCCCGTGAGTCAGCCGCTGCTCACTTTCCCTCATCCGGTTTACTACTCTCATCCCATCGTCACCTCCGTGCCCCTCCTCAGACCGGTTTGAGAGGACGACAGATGCCTTTTTTATGTAACTTATGTAACTAAAACAATTCTACAGAGACTCGAAAAGAGGGAAAGAGAGAAAAGGCGGAAATGAAACCAAGAGACAAAGCTATTTTTGTTTAGAAAATAATTTAAAACGAAAGAAAAGAAAATGTACAAAGACGCACTATCATGCATTTGAGCCCTACATTTTTGTTTTACAACTCACACATATACCCATAAAACTACACATAAATAAGGCGAATGTTTAGAGGCCTATTTCTGATGTTGCTGTTGGTTGGTGGTGAATTACAATAATTCGTTAATTTGCTGTCATTATTATTATTATCTATAAATATCACAAGTCAACTTGTTGACACATCAAAGAAAAGAGTTAACACACCTGGTAAAGTTTTTTTTATAGCACCGGGAAAATTACAGTGAAAACGGATGTGCAATACTACTGTGTATGATCCATATATTTAGGCAACATGTTCTTTTTGAAACTCGTATTTTAGACACATTTTCTTAACCAACAGTTCTTAGGTTGAGAAGATAACTGCTGAAAACGATTTTGTGTCCCTGGTCCCGCGTTCAATGGACAATCATAGGCTATATTGGACAGAAATTACAGTTAAACTGAATACACGCAAACACGAATAATAAAAACTTTTACTTTTATCTATATTATTTGCAGATGTATATGTACATGTACAGATATAACGAACCAAAATGAGGAAAGGTGTCATTTGTACAGTAATAGCTAAGTTTTTTTTACATTGTATTCTGTTGTGAAATAAACGGAGACTATTAAAGTCTACATGTCTTGATTGACGTTGTGACACGACTGCTGTGTTGAAGCGAAAAAATTGTTTCACAATTTAGTAATGTTTATATATAAATATGGACATGCTCAGTAATACACTAGCAAGTACAAATAAACACATGAATTTCAGTAGGCCTAAATAATATAGGCCATGAGTTAAGAAATCAACATGGGAGTCAAAACTGACATGAGATTGCACAACCCCATTACAGTGTGAGGAAGCACTGTAGTCTCAACATGGAAGTAGTTCTATAAATTTCAAAACAACGAAATATTCTTAAAGGGATGTAAATAAATGAATATGTAAATAATTTATTAATTAAATCAATACGTGGGATAATTAGTTTATTTATGAATTAATAATGTACCTATTTTGTCAGTGCGCCTTGCTAAACATTAAAGAAAATAATGTAAAAAATCATCTCTATTATTGTTTATTGAGTTACAGCATATTTTATGAAATATAAAAGACCACGAGCTAAACCAAGCTTGCAGCAAAACCGGAATTGTTTCACTTACGCATCAACAAGCTGAAATACCCATTACCATCTCAATCACAAGCAGGTGCACCTTTAAATCTGGCGGACTCTACAAGCTGTGTTTGGCAAAATCGCGTTGTCAATAAGATCGTATAATTATCGGTGAGAGCTGGCGGAATTGCATTAAGAGTTTCACCGCTCTTTGTGTGTTTGTGTGCGCGTGTGTGTGTGTGTGTGTGTGTGTGTGTGTGTGTGTGTGTGTGTGTGTGTGTGTGTGTGTGTGTGTGTGTGTGTGTGTGTGTGTGTGTGTGTGTGTGTGTGTGTGTGTGTGTGTGTGTGTGTGTGTGTGTGTGTGTGTGTGTGTGTGTGTGACAGAGAGAGAGAGAGAGAGAGAGAGAGAGATACTGAAGAGTAAAAACTGAACTCCTATGCATTGTATTTTAAGTGTATGAAAAAAAGTAATGAGTTTATTGCTAGTGCTGTAAAATACATGCATGCAAAAAAAAATTAATATATGGCTCATTTAGCTATACCAACCTCAACCTGTTAATTTATTATTGATTTCAGTGGAATATGTTAGTTAGACAACAACAACATAATAATAATAATAGTTATAATTATAATTATATGTATTATAATAATACAATTATTATTATTATGAATAGCCTAATAAAAACTCCCATTTAAAACGGTCCGTCTAAAATTACTGTAGCTTAAAGCTTTAGATTAAAGGCTTCAGATTCAGGGCTTATAATTATTTTCAGATAGGCTATATGTAAAGAACATTTTGAATATAGCCTACTGTTACCAAAACTAAAGGCTTAAAAAATAGAATAAAGAGGGACCATCGAGAGAACTTTAATATGGGTCAGTCATGCTCATCGACAAGCATTGGTCTTCCTATTGCACTCTTCCTCTATAAAGTCGAAATCAACTCTCTGCGTTGGGTCTGAGCACTCAGCCAAGAGCACATTCAAATACCGTCGCCTAATAATCATAACTCCTATATTGACGTATAATATAATGCAAGCTCAGCACGAGCCCATTACGGTGAATTAATAGATCGCAGAGGCATTATTGCCTGTCGAGTATTGATCGGATAACGTCTGTAAAATATTGTTTCAAATCAAGGGCATTGTTAACAGTTCTTTTTCCCCCCTGTTGGCTTACTGATGACCTTGATCCACTGTCATAAACTAAAATATATATATAGCTATCACTCGATAATTTCCATTTGACCATGTCTTTATGCAAAGAAGGGAGGTGGGGATAAACAGATAAAATGTTCTATGCGCATTAAAATGGAAGACACGAGTTAAAATAACATGAAAGAGTTTGGACAAAATAGTGCATATATAACCGTATTTAAACAACCCCCTCCCCATTTGTGCTCATAAGTCATCTCTTTCTGTCTATGTGATTATTCCTATTTGCACAACAGTGTTTTTCTTTGTGAATTTGGCGGGGTTTGTTAGCTTATCGAAGCTCGGGCTATTCAAACTGAACGGTGATTTAACAATTCCGATAAAACACAATGCGTTTAGTTAGCCGACCTCACATTTTCGAGCGAAAGGGATACTGCGTCATAGGATGAGACTGACAAAATGGACTATCATCTGTCCTATTAAATTATCTTTCACTGTGTATGGGGGAAATGTTTTCCAGCGCCCTGCAAAGCACATTTACCCATAATAGACGACGAGAACGTGAACTCAATCCCGTGTATAACGCTTGAGAGGGAGCGGGCCTATCTTTGCTTATTACTTTCTCGAAATGTTTTGGTGTTATTCAGGCAAAAGGATATCTTCTTCTTTTTTTGCCCCACCTTTCCCATTTGCTTTTGTGATTGAAAGCGAGCATCAGATTTTCATCAAAGTTCTATTAAGTGAAACATAGGTTGCGGGGCAGCCTCTGATTGAAACAGTTTAAATTTTAATTGTGTTTTTAATTTGACATATAGTTGCGGAGAGGAATGACACCACAACGCCGAGGGGCGGTCGATTCGCTTAATTTCTCCCTCAGGGATTGATGAGTATATCAGAGCAGTAGATTGGAAACCCATTAAGACTCAATGGTTAGGTTGTTAATTGGATCTTGATGAATAGAAGCCCTTGGTTGAACTATACTGATCCAATCTTCTTGACTTTCTGTTTTCCAATAAATTACCCAATTCATTTCCCAGCCGTAGATTACATAAATTGTACACCTCCAGGGCTTGAGATTCCCGCCTGCTCTCTCTCTCTCTCTCTCTCTCTCTCTCTCTCTCTCTCTCTCTCTCTCTCTCTCTCTCTCTCTCTCTCTCTCTCTCTCTCTCTCTCTCTCTCTCTCTCTCTCTCTCTCTCTCTCTCTCTCTCTCTCTCTCTCTCTCTCTCTCTGCAAAACCATTTGAGAAAAAATAAAAGACCAGCCTCAGAATCTTGAATGAAAATCGAAACATAATCAGCGTTTATACTTAGAAAATTTATTGATATCATTTTCTCTGGTAATTTCCTTATCTTAAAGTTGGACATGCCATATATCATAATACACACGTGTAAAGGGCCCATTGTTTAATATTTATCGAAGCTTGATTTGCAGATCAAAGGAGCCCATGACTTCATCCGTCTTTCTAGTGGGAAGCATTTTTGCCAGAGCTCGATGTGTATATGTTCGGTCATTACTGTCTGCCGCATGCACTGACAGCACGTGCAAAAAATGCCTGTTCTGCCGGATTTGAAAGATCTTTAGCTTTGTGAACGCGTGACAGATTGTCCCATAATCGCTGGGTGTTCATCACGGTAAACCTGTCTAGGTTTTTGGGAAACATATAGCACTGTTTTCAGTTTGATAGTAGAAACACAACTTTTCGGATTTTTACGATAAGCTATGCACATCTTAAAAAATGTTCTTGTTAAAAAACAGCTTTCAACGATTTTTTTGGTTTGTTTTTGTTTTTTGATAATAGCCTACCACTCCCTTCTCAACAAACACGTAGAATATAATGCTGTGATGGGGCCTACATTTCTGGTGTATTGTTTTTGTTTAATATGTCTAAACGGCCTTTAAGCCACCCAGCCTCGGCTGACAGGCGCAGCGTATAAAACCGGCTCTTTAACGATCATTGCGGATTTCACGCCTTATGTGAATGCGCCATAAATCGTTGGGCCGCTGTGAACTAGGCCCTCATATTTTACGCACTAAATGGCTATATGTGGGCATATGGCCCCTCACAATAGGTCTCTTTAACAACCGTTCCAAACAGAGTTGCAGATTGTGACAGTTCAACCACATCGTTTCCATCATTGCGTACATGTATAGTGCACGTTTCGTACTTCCAGAGCCTAACAAACACCCACTGATATGTTTTCGTAGCCACAGGTTCACTGTAAAAGTTCGTGATTGTAGGTTATTAGACTTCAGATCATTGAAAATACATGGCTATATTTCTTGCTGAGTATAAATCACAAAAATTATAAAGAGGCTTATCAATAGGCTAATAATAATAATAATAATTAATATTTTAATTAAAAAGAAAATGGTCAGGTTTGATTTTTTTTTTTACTGGTATGGCCCAGTTATGGCTATAGTCGTGGTCGGGAGACCCATGTGTGCAGGGCTCTATTCCCGACCTTTGAAATTTGTAGTCGGGATCGCTCAACCCTGGCTCCCTCAGCTCCATTAGGTGTCCGCGCGCTGTCACCACGACAAAGCCAGAGCATTTGTTAAGTGTCGCCAGCCTTTAGAAAACGCTAACGAGAGCTAATGTGGCAGAGCCACAGCTGCCCTCGAGACACGAGTCAGGGGTGGGGCGAGCGCACACCCCCCAATCAATTAGTCAATCAATTAAACAGGGTCCTGCCCGCTCTAGCCGGCCCGCAGAGGCAGTAGATTAGCCCACCATAATGATCAAATTAATTCTTAAACGGAGATAATGGACGTGGAATGAGTTTATTATTTTCAAGAAAAATGAGATAGGATCCATTATTAGTTCCTAGACTCTGTGTTGGATTATTTGACCAATTTGCCATTTATAGCACACGACTAGTGGAATTTAAAACGACTGTTTAATAAGATATATGATTTTGAACAAAACCATGTATTCAGATGACTTGTGATTATGAGGTTGGTTTATTGTTGGTTATTGATGTGCGCATGAACTTGAGAACTCTAGGCGTGTACTTGAGATGCCTAGAACTCCACTCATGAACAAAGAGGACCTCTGTGGATCAGCAGCATGCTCGTCTGTGTGATGACCACAGTCTACAGTAAAAGCTGTTTAAAACGTGCTTCTGGATCTGGATCTCTGAATTGCACGGTTAAATGTTGTGACAATCTTTAACGTCTTTTGAACCAAACAAAAAAAACGTATGGATTTGTTACATTTTTAATTATATTTCAGAGGCATGCGTCATGGGCTTCCAATACAAGTCAAAATCTCTGAACATCAATAAATAAATATAAATTTAAACTCGTTATCCTGTAAACAGAAACATATTATGTCGATATAACGGAGCAGGAAATTACTGAAATTAGAAGCAATAATAAT